CAAACCCCTTGATCCCAGATCCTATCTGAAATACTATATTTGTAGCTCTGATGCCTTGTAGAGCCGTGACCTCCACAGGTCTTGGGAAAGGCACAAAATAACAAAACCACTTAGTACTCACAGAGTGTGAAATTCTGGCCCCACCAAAGTCAGTAGGTATTTTCGCAATAACTTTAATGTGGCAAACTTTCATTCACAGACAAACCCCTTGATCCCAGATCCTATCTGAAATACTATATTTGTAGCTCTGATGCCTTGTAGAGCCGTGACCTCCACAGGTCTTGGGAAAGGCACAAAATAACAAAACCACTTAGTACTCACAGAGTGTGAAATTCTGGCCCCACCAAAGTCAGTAGGTATTTTCGCAATAACTTTAATGTGGCAAACTTTCATTCACAGATATTTTTTTAATATTTTCAAATCACAGAAGAACCTCAGAGTTATGAACACTTTGGGAATGGAGGTTGTTCATAAATCCGAAATGTATGTAACTCTGAATAAAAAGTTATGGTGGTTCTTTCAAAAGTTTACAATTGAGCATTGAGTTGGTACAATTTTGAAACTTTGCTCTCTAGAATAATATGTATGCTTTACCTTTATTTTTTTCAGTAGTTTACATTTAACACAGCCCTGAACTGTATTTGCTCTGTGTGTGTGTATGCACATGTGTGTGTCTGCCACTGCCTGATTGCACTTCTGGTTCCAAATGACCAATCAGTTTGTAACTTTGGTGTTCATAACTCTCATGTTCTACTGTAGTTGCAGCCAATAATTTTCTTTGTGTCCATTGCTTTATGGGTTTGTTTCCTATTCCCAGCTTAAGACCCGTGTTTGTCGTCTTAAGTCATTTGTTTGTTAAGTTTGTTTCCATAAGTCATTTAGATATTCAAAGAGTAGTTTTCATTACTTTGTGTTAGAAAATAGCTTAAACTTTTCAAAATAAACAGTTTGATGTATCTGGACCTTATGAGTAATATTTTAGTGGATGGGAAAAAATCCATGAAAATGTAACACAATAGTAACTGAAACTAGGATCAATTCACAATACCCACCACAAAACATTCTATTTTAGCAATAGATGTTTTGCTTACTTGCAGTATCCTTCTACTTCTATGGAGTCCTATTGCTGATATATTTTTGAATCTGTGCTTAAACCTCGAAGGAAATACAAGAAAAGAAAGTGTGATTTAGCAGTTTTTAAATCTTAATGTTGAGCCTTTCTTTTCCATTAAATAACCTTGCAGTGGAGAAGCAAACAGAAATTCACACTCTTTTGTTGTTGTTGATGTCTTCTACCCAAGGTAACTACAGGCCCTGGGCTGATTAACACATCTGCTGCCTCCTGAGAAATGAGAGTTTATGCAAAGAAATTGTGTGATTCAAAAGAATCATTTGTAAGAACAGAAATTTATTGAGCACATAGATAATCTCAATCACTAACACTTCCCTGATTTTTCTTCCCCCTGCTGATTACACCTGTACACGTGCTTATTCCCAAACCATGCAAAATCCAGAGACATTCTCACTGGCTGACTTGATTCCTACAGCTCAGATATCCCCATGGTTTTTTGGCCGTGGACCCTGCATTCATGTGACTGTTGCACACTATAGCTCAATGAAATTCACTGAAAGAGCTGCCAACTCACCAAATTTTCCATGAATTAACTCCTGACACTTCAATGAGGGAAAAGACAATGTCTGAAACAACGCCAGCTCTGGCTCCGTGCCTAGTATGTGTCAAAGTAATTTTACCAGCAGCCCTTCCACACAGTACTTCATACTTTTCAGACCACCAAAAAGACCCTTAAATACTTTCAGTATCAGTTGGGGTTATAACTGCCAGTATGTTTTCCCAGCCTCTGGCACCCAGTGGCTTCAGACTGAACCTAGAAAGTTTTGTGTGCGTTTGTTTTGTTTTTATTTCTATGAATGGTTTTAGAAGTCTCTGATTGAAGCACAATACTGCAGTCATTCACAAAAAGTGAAGGGAAAATGTTGTACTTTGCCTGCCTGGAAACTGTTTTATAAGACTCTTACTCACTCGGGACCTTTGCTATCTTACTGCTGAGAGCAGTTTGCTCCCTGCTAGTTAGAGTTCTTGTGATTCAATATTATGCATTTGTGATCTTGGATATGCTGCTTATGCTTTTTTATAAGGAGGAACTGTATGATTTAGATTAAGATTTAAAGCAAGGGTCAGATCCTCACCCAGTGTAAATCAATATACTCCCTTGAAGCCCATGACATTTAACGCTTTGCAACTTAGGCTCTGTCTAGACTGCTGCTTTTTATTGGAAAAAGGTACGCAAATTGCACTCCACAATTTGTGTACTTTTTCTCAATAGTTTTGTTGGAAGAGGTTTTTCCGAAATTTGGCCCATTTACCCTGGGCCAAATTTTGGAAAAACCTCCTCTTTCAGAAGAGCCCTTTTTCCTCATGAGACAAGAAAGACAGGGCTTCTGAAAGAGCGCGTCTGCTTTTCCACAAAAAATGTCTGAAGAGCAGACTCGTTCCCTGGACACAGCGGAGCTTTTTGTCGGCTGGGCTCCTACAGTTTGAATCAAGGGTGCTTTGTCTGTATAAGGGCTGCAAATATTGCATGGTAAAGTCAGTGAGATTTATTCTGAGCCTGAGAGACTTGGAGTGTCCCCTGTCTTAAAGGCAATTAGGGTATGTCTACACTACCCTGCTAGTTCGAACTAGCGGGGTAATGTATGCATACCGCACTTGCTAATGAAGCCCGGGATTTGAATTTCCCGGGCTTCATTAGCATAAGCGGGGAGTCGCCATTTTTAAATCCCCGCTGCTTCGAACCCCGTGCAGCGCGGCTACATGGGGCTCGAACTAGGTAGTTCGGACTAGGGTGCCTATTCCGAACTACCGGTACACCTCGTTTCACGAGGAGTAACGGTAGTTCGGAATAGGCACCCTAGTCCGAACTACCTAGTTCGAGCCCCGTGTAGCCGCGCTGCACGGGGTTCGAAGCAGCGGGGATTTAAAAATAGCGGCTCCCCGCTTATGCTAATGAAGCCCGGGATTTGAATTTCCCGGGCTTCATTAGCAAGTGCGGTATGCATACATTACCCCGCTAGTTCGAACTAGCGGGGTAGTGTAGACATACCCTTAGATAGTTCAGGGAACCTGACTGTACAGAATCAGGGCCTATGTGTCCTGTTCTACTGATGCCTTCTTTTATTGTAGTGGGTATGTGTCCTTTGGCTCCCGTGTCAACTCTTTGACAAAGTAATGATACAACCTCCTTGGCTCACTAAGCTTTCACTGCATTGTGTTAACAGATCTCTGCATCTTCCAATGAGTGTTTTGAAATGAGACAACTCTAATTCAAAAGCTGGTTGTGATTCAACTTGCTGGGGTGAAAGAGAATTCACCTTGAATATAAAAAAATGTTAATGCCTACAAAAAATGTCAGAAACAAAGGACTTTTAAGAAATCCTTTGGAGCAAAATATTATTGCACATTGAATTGGAGAGTCCTGAATAAAAGGCTCTATCAACTTAAAGTGCCACTTATTTGTTCTGTAAAACATATGGTGATGTCTCTGACTGTTCTCAAGGATGCAGTGTCACTTATTTCGTTTTTTACCCCGGGGGGGGGAGGGAGAGGGGAGACCAGGGACCGCACGCATGGGCCTTGCTTACCACGGATCATGTAGCAACCTGTGCCATGCCACCCCTGGGCAGGTGGCTCCAGCTGCGTGCCACACAGGGGCCGTGGCCTGATAGCCACACGTGTGTGTGAAGAGACCTGACATGCTCCTGACCCCGGGGTGGGACACAGCAGGATGCCCTCCCTTCACAAGACCCCTCTACACAGAGGCAGGGGACATCTCCCCCCCACCTCGGCCGCACTATACACAGCACAGGGGTATGGGTGTGGTCTTGGGGCAGCTCCCACTCCCGGGGATAGCTGGACATTCCAACCATGGCTTCTGTGCAAGCACAGCAACTCTGACAGTGCAAGGCACGGTCATCCTCGCCTCGCAGAGGGGGGTTGGGGTTTCACCC